CTGGAGCGTTGAATCACGCTGTCAAGGGGTATTAGATTTGGTTTGGTCGAGCACTTAGTTAAAAATTCTTTGAATTAAAATTAAAAAATGCTTTGGGCTTTCCGCGAAATTTTCCTATTTGCAGCGGTTGTGATTAAAAGAATTGAATTTAATCTACTCCTCTAAATGCTGCTGCATATGTTTTGTAAATATATTTAATCACTGCATTTGATTGTTGCACCTGGTTGCTGAAAAGAAAATTTTAATTCATTTGAAATTGAATGTGGCGCTATTTGGAAAATTATGTATATGTTTTGTGATAGTGTTTAATCATTTTGCTTTGTGAAAAAGAAGGCTGAAATTAGATAACCCTATTTGTGCCGAGGTAAATAAAAGTTAGGTTCCAGTAGATGTTCTCCTTTGGTTTACATTTTGTAAGCACTGTCTAAGTTACGTAAATGAGAAATAGGGCTGTCTCTTACGTTATTGTTTTGTTTAATTTGTCAAGTTGACCTATGTGCATCGGTGATTAATTTGGTTGAATTGATTCTGTAGTTGAACATTGATGCTTTGAAAAATTAGTTGAAATATGAGCATAGGACTGCTTGTCTAACAGGCTAGCTAGTTTTGGAGATTATCAGATTGAAATCAGCTGCCGCACTATTTTAGTAAATGATAATATGGTGGGTGGCCTGGCTAGGTCTACTTGTTGAAAATTCATACTAGGGACTATCTGTGCGTTTCGTTCGGCTCTCCACAGACGACGTTCATGTGGAATTTGTGGGTGCTCTCTGCACTGAAGCTTAGGAGGCCGTTTTGGGCCGCTTCGTGTCGCGTCGCTGTTTGCAGACCTGATCCGGTCGGATTGCGGAACTAATCGTAGGGGCACAGATAGGTGTTTGAAAGAGGTCATCGGACTTCTGTCCAGAATAGGACCTATTTATGGGCTGCGATGTCCAGGAAGGGCATCCAGTTCAACCCTCCGGCTTGCCCACGTTGGGGCGGTAATTTTGAGGCGTTGGTTAGGGTAGCAAGATCTGATCGGGTGCCTAAGGTGGCCTAGTTTGGTTGTAGATTCGGTCTTGCAACTTGCCGTCGCGACGTTGTCCCGCTGACCGGTTTGCTCGCGGACCTAAATCCTTATGTCCGGGACGGGGGTTTGTTCGCGCAAAACGCTGTTGTCGGAATCGACATCTAGGGGGCGCGCGGCTCGGTATCATACCGGTTTGACAGTTGGATGTGTCGAGCGTGCGCGAGTGCAAGTCAGTCGTCTGCCAGCTGTGCTAACGCTAGCACACTGTCATTTTTTGTTCGGGAACCGCGGAATAGTTTAGACGTTTAGTAAACATCCTGTCTAGGATTTATAACGCGAATTCCTTGTTGGATAGCCTTTCCCGGGACTTATTGGGTCCGACTCAAAATCTGTATAAGTTGCATTCGACTATATTAGCTAGTGCAGCCTTTGATATTCTAGAAATAACTGTTGCTACGCAAAACGGTAGTGACCTTTGATCCGGACACTCCGTGTTCGTTTTGTGCGTTAACCTTATAACAAACGAGAGTTAGTGGCTTCTGTAAGTTAATTAATCGTACGATAGAGTTAATGGACTGAAGCGGTGCAGCATTTTGGAGCAGCCTGGAACTCGGCCGCTGCTGGTCGCCTATGCTTGACAAGGCCCCACACATTCACACCTTACTGTACACTACTCGCCATCCACTATTACACACACTCACGGCCTACCCAAGCCTTGGTGCGAAGTTAGCTTCGGATAATGGTAAGTACTATGGGTATCTAGCTTCCTCCCACATTGTTTATTGTAATTAGGAAATTCCACGTGGCCATATTCTGGCCCCGTCCCTCTGCTGCCCGTCGATGGGATTACTCATGGGCCCTAATCCCGTCATCCTTGATTGGGGCAGCTAGGGCCGTGTACAAACTGGTATGAATGTTAATGATTAATTAACTATATAATGATAATTCATTCATGTTAATTTTTATCAAACACTATGGTAGCAGGGCGTGGTTCCGGGTTCGATTCCCTGGTCGATCCCGACCATAGTATTTGATAAAAATTAAACAATTCTGGTGGCAGGGAGTGTTGGTTTGATTTGTTTAATTTGTATCTACAATCACGCCCGTCCGTAATACGTAAAAATATTTTTTTGAACGTAATAATAAAATTATTTTCTTTTGTTGCTTGCTTATTTGGTTAGCAGGTAGATTTGAAAGCCGCGCCCTTTTAGTGCGCAAGCGGGAGTTTTTTTAGAGATACCTCTACGTCATGTAGGTAGATGGATATTATCACGTAATCGGTTAATTATCGTTGTCAGATAGTTGTAGTGGATTGCTTATCGAAGGGTCGATTTCCGAGCTAGGCATTTTTTGTTGATCGGCCGTGAGGTGTATCTTCGTTTGTATTGTAATTTGTATTTGAACTAAAGAGTACTAATTGTATTTGCGCAATTTGAATTTAACTTGAATTGATCGCACTAGTGTTTGTTATTTGTTGATTTGATTTGTGTCTTTTCTTTTGTGCTAACTTGTATTTGGTTGATACGTAGTAATTCGTAATAATATATAATGTTAATGAATATAATAATATATAATGTTAATGAATAATTAATAAAATGAATGAACCTTGGCAGATCCAGAGTTGGGAGCCGTCCCAACAGCTCCGGCTGAAGCTGCTTCCGAGAGGACTCGGGCAGGCCACTCATCCGAGCTTCACGCGCCTCCTCGGCATACCTGCCTTCAGCCTCGATCAACTCGTCCGTGAGCGAAAAGAACTGCTCGTAGTCCGCGAAGCAGGAGTCCAGGACTCCTCTTTCCACATCCGAATCCTCGAGCTCAGCGTAAGCCTCCTCCACTGTGGCCCTTCAAGCATTCACCTACTCGAACCTCTTCATCAAGTTATGGACCCTGTCCGGTCGACCTATCAAAGCATGGGCACTTGTGGCCCAGCGTAACTCAGTCCGCAGGCAACGGGTTAGTAGCTTGGATGATGACATCACTACTAAATACAAATTACGATGCGGCTCGAGCACAAATTACAAAGATAACAAATAAAAAATACAACAAAAAATTAACAGTTAATAAATGCAGTTTCTATGAAATCCAGTTGAATAGAAATTACACAAATACGAATTACTACGTATCAACCAAATACAAGTTAGTACAAAAGAAAAGACACAAATCGATTGTTAATATATACACATCTTGTTTATTGTGAGACACGTGACACACACAACGTTACAGCTTATAGAAACTCCAACGCTGAACAAAGACCTCCCCCATAGTTTGCTTCATAGGGAGAAATATTTGCCATAATGGCCACGCTTAGTAGGTGAGATAGCAACCGCAGTTATTTTAATTCTTTAGTTGTTATTAGGAAGATGCTGCTGCCCATCTCCTGGTTCCTTTCCCTCTGCCGCCCCTTAAAATACCCACGAGACGATATGGGGTAGTGGATGTTCTTATACCACTACATACTCAACTTTTTGACCGTGGTAGAGCCATGCTGCAGCTATATTAATAGTATAGATGTAGCACGAATGGGTCGGCTCGACCGGGGAAGGACCACGCTCTCACAGAATACCAACGTAAAATAGCAGCTTAATGCTGCTGTGTTTCGTATGGTGAGTGTAGTGAACCGGAGACCCTCTTTACTGGAAACGAGGCATTCCATCTTAGTCCTCACGGGTGACAACGCATCTGCATTTTGATTCGTAATCGAGGATAGATGTAGATGTCTATGGGCCACAGCAACTACTTACCATCAGGTGGACTGTGTGCTCGTTTGTCACCCTAATTCTATAAAAAAAAAATTAAAACTTAAAAATAACTAAATTCATAGCATTATCCATGCTCGCCTCTTACGACATCCGTGGAGCAGAATGTGGTAAAAGATTCTCTTATGCAGTCACCGCATGGGAATAGAAAATGCCAGAGGTTTTCAATAGATTACAGTACAACCATCTACATTACACCATTCATAAAATACCAAGACCGGTGGAGGTAGGCAGCAGCGTCAAATGTGCGAGACAAGAAGAGTAAATCCAAGTTTACCAAGCGTGAAGATCATGGAAAATCCTCCCTACTACGGGAGAGGTAGTTGACCAAAAGTAGAAATTATAACGAAAGTTTTACGGTTGTCGGGCATCAAACTGCCAATTTTTTCCATTATTACATTTTTCCAAGTTTCTGTGATTCCCCGTAGAAATGCAACAGGAAGACTAGAAGACAAAGAACAATTCACAGTTATTGCTAAGCACATAATGTATTGTTTTTAAATTCTCATCGTCTTTTTGCTCTCCTTTATACGAAACTGTACTTGGTACGAAAGTAGTCAGTAGTAACAGTCACTTGCTTTTAGCATTTATTTCTTCAAATTAAACTGTTTAGCTGTATCTAAGCTTTGTTCTCGCTAAAACTTACTATTCATAATCGTTTATCATAAAAACGAGTACGTCTATTCATTGCATTTAATTTATAATAATACAAAATAATTAATTAATAAAAATATATCCCGACAACCGATGGGGCAAAAAGGTTCTTGAATGGCAGCCTCTTACCGGTAGGCTAAGTGTAGGGCGGCCCCCAATTATATAGAGTGACGACCTGGTAAGACATGAAGAAAGTAGATGGATGCAGGTGCCTGAGGACCGTGCTTTGTGGCATTCCTTGGGGAAGGTCTATGTTCAGCAGTGGACTTGTGAAGGGCTGTAATGATGATGATGATGACGATGATAAATTCAATAATTCAGAGTAATAATATTATTAATTAAAAATAATAAAAATAATAATTAATTATAATTTTACGAGTAAACTAATAATCAGCCTGATGCTGAGTGGTTTTTGTAGCTTATAGACCACAGCTTCCAACTTCAATCAAGGAAGGCTGCATAATATCATGTTTTGTCATCCAAGTTACAAGTTGGAAAACGCCGTAAAGGCATTTTATTAATATTAACTATAATAAAAATTAAAAAAGCAAAAGTACAATAAGGTAAAAGGCACTAATACAATTATAACTTTAATTATAATATATAAATACCATAGAAAAATCCGAAAAAAATTGCAGCCTTCAGCAAGGTTAAACTTAATTAAATTAATAAAGTACAATATTTTTGTTGTATTTATTATTGTTATTATTTATTTATTAATTTTGAAATTTACAAAATACCTTTCTAAAATACAATACTGATATTGTTAAAATTTAACTATTTAAAAATAGAATAAATATAAGTTTAAGAATTTGTGTATTATTTGTATGTATAACACGTATACACCAACGAAATACTAGTAGACAGTCACTGAATTTATATAACGGTAGATGCATAAACGGACTATAGATTTTACTTAACGTTACTTCCGCTTCCGTCCAGAAAAAGATATAAGTTACCCTCAAGTCTCACAGGATACTTAGAACACAGTAAAATAATTAAGTATGGTGAGTATAGACAGCCGGAGGCCATTTTTACTAGTAATAAGATATTCCATCCTAGTCCTTCATTTGATACAACAGTATTTCGTCATTATTCGAACTTTCGACCCGCACAATTAACATATATTCCACACACGGAACTGCTTAAAGTTTCTTGTAAACGGGAAATTAGTAGAATTTTTATCATTTAACATTCACGAGATATTTCTAAAAACATTTTTACATATGATGACACCAAAATGACATTACAAAAAAAGCATCGTATACATTTAAGTATGAATAAAAAGGATATTATTTAATTATTATCTAAATATTATAAAATAACACTGACTTGACATTCATTCTTTAACTATAAAATATAAATATTTAACAAAATATTTAAGGTACCTAGTGATATCTGGTAATGAATTATTAGAATTATAGTTCAGTTTTAGGTCTTGGAGTTGGAGGAGGAGGTGCGGTGGGCATTGCATAATATTTCTCATAAATAGCATCCCAAAAAAGAAAGCGTTGCTGTATCAGAGGTCCGCGCAGTTTCATCGTCTTATCGAGAGACATGTGAGGTCCACCGTTTGCATCGGTAGGCGGCCACGTTGGAAGGTCTGAACCCTCTGGAACCGGTTTCCTGCAACAATCAGAACATATGAGGTAATTTTTTGTACATTGAGAAATTATTTAAAATAAACTAACAAGGTATTAACAGTATTAGGAAGTTGCGAAAATTACTTTAAAGCAAGTTGTTGAAATTTTTTTTTTTATAGGAGATGGGGCAAACGAGCATGCGGCTCACCTGATGGTAAGTGACTACCGCCGCCCATGAACAACTTCAACACCAGGGGAATTGCAGATGCGTTGCCGGCCTTTTAAAAAGGAGTAGGCTCTTTTCTTGAAGGTCCCTAAGTCGTATCGGTCCGGAAAAATCGCTGGTGGTAAACTATTCCACAAGGAAGTTGTGCGAGGAAGAAAACATCTTCTAAATCGCACAGTGGTGGACCGCCAATCATTTATTCACAGGACAGCATTTCGCTCGGGGTGGTTGCAAATCCAACGCCCTGGTTTGTCCAATGGGTGTTGTAAGACGGGAAATGCAGGTATTAAGTAGATGGCGTATATACCTCCACTGGGTGTAAAATACGTTGTAAAGTGTAGCGATTTAGGAAAACTCTCTGAGAGAAAAAGTCTGGTGTCCAGCTATTGAATGTTTACAGCTGAACGACGAGGAGGAGAAAATTAGCTATGAAAGTTAATTTTAAAATTTACGAAAATTATTGATATTACATAATTAATATTACATGATCTTAATATCTCCAGACTCAAAAACAAACAATGATTTCGGATATGATTAAAAACCATTATTATCTACAACTTGCAGTTAAGTATGCCGACTGCTAAGCCAGGCAAATTCATATATATTACTAGCTGACCAGGCACACGTTGTTCTGCCCTTTCCGACGACCATTCGCTTCCCTAAAAAACTTCTGAAATTAGCAATAAAAAAATTGAGCGTCACTTATCGGGATGAAAACAATCCTATCTCTCAAGTTGGACCAAACTGCACACAGTGTGCAATATTTCATTGAAAACCGTTCATTAATTTAGGAGTTCATCGCGGACAAACAATGTGACACGTAATATTTAATAACGTAATAAAATATATCCAAAGATCGATACAAATAAATAAAATTGAAGTATTTGTTTGTAATGTCAAAAAAACAGCTTTTAACTAAATGCATATGAAGTATATCATCATCATCATCATTACAGCCCTTCACAAGTCCACTGCTGAACATAGGCCTCCCCCAAAGAATGCCACAAAGCACGGTCCTGAGCCACCTGCATCCATCGACTTCCTGCATATCTTACCAGGTCGTCACTCCATCTAGTGGGGGGACGCCCTACACTTCGCCTACCGGTATGAGGCTGCCACTCGAGAACCTTTCTTCCCCATCGGTTGTCGGTTCTTCGAGCTATATGGCCGGCCCACTGCCACTTCAGCTTACTAATCCGTTGGGCTATGTCGGTTACTCTGGTTCTACTGCGGATATCCTCATTCCTAAGTTTATCACGCAGAGAAACTCCGAGCATAGCCCTCTCCATAGCTCGCTGAGCGACCTTGAGCTTCCTCATACGGCCAGCAGTGAAGGACCACGTCTCAGTTCCATAAGTCATCACTGGCAACACGCACTGGTTGTACAATTTCGTTTTCAGGTTTTGAGGTATGTCTGACGAGAAGATATGTCGTAGCTTCCCGAACGCTGCCCAGCCGAGTTGAATCCGTCGATTGACCTCTCGGTCGAAGTTGGACTTACCTAGTCGGACTATTTGTCCCAGGTAATATAGTGATATTACCTGGGACAAATAGTACAAATAATTAAATAGGACAAATAGACAAATATATGATATAATATAATATAGTAATATAATATAATACGATACTTTTAACAAAAATACAATTTTTTTTAATTTTTGTCTGTCTGTCAGTGTGTTCCGGCTAATCTCCGAAATGACTGGACCGATTATGATGGGACTTTTACTGTTAGATAGCTGATAATATAAGGAGTAATATAGGCTACTTTTATTTTAGAAAATCAATTAGAGTTCCGCGTGAAAAAATCGTAACCATACAATCCAACCGTATAAAATTTCACGCGGACGAAGTCGCGGGGAATAGCTTGTTATTAAATATATTGAGTATTAGCTGGAATAATTTGTGTCAATTCACTCCAGGACTTTTACGGTGTGAATATTGCAAATACTAATAACTAACTACCCAATGTACGAGTATTAATAACTACACCTATCGGGACAAGATTTTGTGATTTTCTGTTTTTAAACCTAACCAACATATCTTTTTTTTTTTTTTATAGGAGAGGGGGCAAACCAGCATGCGGCTCACCTGATGGTAAGTGACTACCGCCGCCCATGAACAACCGCAACACCAGGGGAATTGCAGATGCGTTGCCGGCCTTTTAAAAAGGAGTACGCTCTTTTCTTGAAGGTCCCTAAGTCGTATCGGTCCGGAAAAATCGCTGGTGGTAAACTATTCCACAAGGAAGTTGTGCGAGGAAGAAAACATCTTCTAAATCGCACAGTGGTGGACCGCCAATCATCCAGATGGTGTGGATGGTATCGGGAGTTCTGCCGCGATGTGCGTTCGTGAAATTTGGCGGCTGGGATTAATCCGAACAATTCCTCAGAGCACTCCCCATGGTAAATGCGAAAGAAAATGCTAAGAGATGCAACATCTCTTCGCAGTGCCAATGAGTCGACCCGATCGGAAAGGACTCGGTCGTCGACGATTCGAGCTGCTCTGCGCTGGATGTGGTCAAGTGGAAGAAGCATATCTTGTGTATATGAGTCATTTTAGTCCTCAAATAGAGAATTTGTTTATAACTTAACTTCAGCGCCACATATCAGATTCTAGCAAAGCTGTGAGCCATCACCTCAACAAAAAGTATTTTGTATTTTAAGTAAGCAATTCTATTTGTGATTTTGCTCTAATGATTTAAATGAATTTAGGTAACGTTTTACTTTTCAAGTGTATCCAGATTGGTTTCATCCCTGAGATATTTTTTTCAATGTTCGAACGCCCACTTACTCCAGTGTTAATATGACCACAATCAGTCATGTCGTTACAAGTAACGAAGAGATTAATTTGGTTCTCTATTGGCAATCTAATACTGACACGGGTAATGTTGCAAAACTTTACAATAGATGGAGTGATGATATGACGCACTGGATGCAAGTGGCTCATGACTCAGGACCATACTTTGTGACAATCTATGGAGGAGACCTATGTTCAGTAGTGGACTAGTTATGGGCTATAATTATGATGATAATGATGATATTTTAAACCACATTACCCTGTTGTGATAAAGTTGAACCATAGTTCTCTCATCAACTGCTTCATATTTGTAAAATCTTGTGTATCAGCTGGAGCATTTGGGAAAAATTCGTCTCCTATAGCCATTGTTTGTGCGCAATGGTTAGCACCACGCACACTTGTGTAGGGTACTAACGGAACGTTATCATCCACAAAGGAATATTCATATAAATATATACCGCTGTTTCCAGATTCCACTTGCAACTGAACAGACTTTAGTGTGCCATATGCAAATATAACATCCGTAAAATAATCTATATATCTAAATATAGTATCCTTGCCAACTGGTTTTTTACCAAAATAGAACTCTTTAATTCTCTGCGCGACTTCTACTTTTTCTTCTGCGTTTGAAAATTTAAGGTCACCGGGCAAGAAAACGGCAAAATTTTTATTCATTTTACTATACCAGGTTTCAAAAAGCGGCATTCTAAATAATCCTTCCATTTCAGCAAATCCAAATAACATTGGTAGTTTATGATTGCGGCCACTTTTCAAAACGTTCAATGGAGCGTCGTCAAGAAATCTTTCTTCACCTTGTTCTCTTTCAACACAAGGTACAAAAAGAAACGTAGAATCGGGCTCATTTAAAAGATTAATAGAATTTAACGTATCGTATGATGCTGATTTATAAAAATTTTCTAAATCATAAATATCGTTGTTCTTATTTGTAAAGTTAAGCATTTTCGCATATTTCCAAGCAATTCCTATTGGGTCAGTTTGTACACTAAAAACAGAGAGACTTGCTCCACTTTCGGGTATAACCTTATTAAAAAGACCTTTGGTCATCGGCGAAACAAGATGAAGATCAACCGATGATGAACCTGCACTAAATCCATTGATTGTAATATCATCAGGATTTCCGCCAAAACTGGCAATATTTTTTTTCACCCAACGAAACAATGCGACTTGGTCCTTCATGCCAGCATTACCGGGTACATCTTCTGTGCCTAGGCATAGAAAACCATGTACACCGAGACGGTAATTGAAATTAACTATTATTATATTCTTTTCTTTGACCAGTTGTTTTGCAGTCATTAAATCGCCATATCCTACTAGATATGCCCCTCCATGAACATGTATAACCACAGGTAAATCCTTCTTATCCGTGTCAGGTACGTATATATTGGCGATTAGGCAGTCTTCCTGTTGCTTAAGTTTTATTTCGAAAGGCAAATCAGGTAGTACGCATTGTGGGCAAATTACATCTTTATTGACGGCTTCGAATGGTTCTGTCCATTGCGGCGGAGGAAGTGGTGCCTATAATAAAAATTTAATATTATTTTAAAAGCTTACATTCTCATTTAATTATTTTATAATGTATTAGCTTTAAATTTTTATTAATATTAGTCCTGCACTAATTGCATAAACAAATAATTAACGGAAGGTATGGCAAACTAACTGAATTTCACGACTGATAATTTGTCACATGAATACAGAAACAATAATGGATACGCAAGATGATTTATGATGAATTTGGCCTTACATATTAGAAGCTAAAAACGAGACGTTTCTGCTAATCAACATATTTATAGATTTTTTAACAATATTCAATACATAGTTTCAGTAGCGCATTTGCTAAGCGTTTAGTTGTGGCGCTGCAGAGTTGTGGGTTCGAATACCGCACAGAGAAAATGTTTGTGTGGCTCACTTTAATTGTTCCGGTTCGGTTATATTTTGTTTGTTTGTGAGTGTAAAAATAGACTGTAGTATATAAAAAAGTTTAATATTACCATTAGATTAGACCGATTATTACGTATTTTATTAATGATGCCTATCACAGATAATTTGCGATATACGCACGGAAGGAATGATTATTCATAGGTAGTTATTTGTTTCTTAATTAACATAGATCATAGAATATTAGTATAAAAAAAATGGTACCTTGAATCTGTGCTCGCCGGTAGGTGCTCTTGCGTACGGTATGCCATAAAAGACATAGAAATTATCATTTTGTGCCTTATATCCGCGAACGGGCCCCTGGGCTATATTTACTAGCTTCGCTTCTCGTGTTTGCGCTCCCCCTAGCACCGATATCAAACATAATAAGACGATACACTTCCACATAACGCGACGCTATTCTAAAAGACTAAAAGGTAGGTATTCTGTTAATATACTGCCGCAGTTACGAATGTTTATTGCACCTAGGGTTGCCGACTTTACTGTAGGTACTCGTATTATAATATATTATCCTACTTTAATAGGGGTCTACTTAAATATTAAATACTTAATTTCTTAAATAAATATATGGTAGGCGAAACTACTACATTATATTATAACTTGGGGCTAATAACAGTGAATTGAGTCGTGGTAGCTCAAGGGCTTAGCACTCGCTGTAAATTTCACAGTAGACGAGCAACCCGGGCTCGATCCCCGCCGGCACCAATGAAAGTGTTAATTGCAATTTTAAGTGCTTATTTAACACGTGCTTGGTGATGAAGGTAAACATCTTGAGGTAACCTGCATGTGTGAGAAAAAATATATTTCGAAGACAATATGAGGTCCCTCAACACGCATTACGACATATATATATTAGATTTTCGTTGTACTATATTTTACAGGCTTACATTAACTTTTCGATGTTTACAGGCAGTAGTATTAATTTATTTTCATTTCTAATATTATATTTGAAATAAAAATAATTGACAACCCCTTCTTTTCAAGCCATACGATCACGTTCTTCAAGTTTATGATTACTTATCGTGATGACTTTGCATTTTTAAACAGGATTAACTAGCAGTTCTGAGCGCATAAAATTATTGTTATATATTTATTCATTAAAAGATTCGCTTACATTTCAATCAAATTGTATGTTTTTGTGTCCGTTTGTGTCACGAATAGTCTTCTCATCTTTGATCTTAGTTCAGTTATTATCATACTTAATTGTAAACGTTATATTTTAAATTAATGTTTAAAAAAATGTTCGCCGGATTTCTTACTAGTATCACTGATTAAATCGTTACAATCACGATACCATCCTCACCATCTGGATGCTTGGTGATCCACGACTGTGCGTTTTACTAGGAGTTTTCTTCCTCGTACAACTTGTCTGTGAATTGTTTTTCATCGGCGGTTTTTCCGGACCGATACGACTTAGGGACTTTCAAGAAACCTGTCTAAAAATGCCGGCAACGCATCTTCAATTCCCCTGGTGTTGCAGTTGTTCATGGACGGCGGTAATCACTTGCTATCAGGTGAACCGCATGTTCGTTTGCCCCATCTTCTATAAAAAAAAATACTTCCCAGGAAAGAAGTTTTTTCCGAACCAGTGGTAAATACTAAAATGACTTTCAATAAGTATTCGTGTAATCTATATTGAATAAAAATTATTCTATTCATTTCTATTTTAAATACATTAGAGAAACCACGTTTGTAAAATAGCTTAACTTTTGAGAACATTTTATATTCTTCGATTTGTAATCAAGGAATATAGAAAAGGAAGTAAACCGACCCTCCGTGGTCTTGCCAAAAAGCACAACACAATTAAGTAGGTATGTATTATTAAAGTGACGTATTATTTGGCGTGTCTGGTTAGGTATTATTTATTAGGTATTATATATAAACGACCTATTGTTATTTTTCTACGATTTCAAAAGGAGGAGATAATCCGACTGTATTCTTTTGTGTTGCCTATGAGGCACTTTTTTCTAGGTGAACCGATTTTGATGATTCTTTTTTTTATTTGAATGCCGGTTCCTGGTACTTCTCATTCTCATGTAGTCCTATATAAATTTGATCAAGATCTGACCAGTAGTTTTTGAGTTATCCTTAAAAATTGAAGTGGGTTGTATAACATTTTTAATTTTATCTCTTGTTTCTTAACTATACTTTTAATTTGCAATTCGCAGCTCAAAAATTATTTCTTTACATGGGAGCGGACCTTAAGTATAACCTATTTATGAAAAATAATAGTTTAAATCGGTTCAAAAATAATTTCCTTGGATTATTATATTGTATAAATTATAAATTAAATAGTTTTTTTTTAATAAATCATAATTTATTTTAATTTACTTAACCATTGTGTACATATTTATAAGGTCCCGTGAATAACATTAAAATTGTTTAAACCAGTGCTAAAATGATTAATTTTGATACAAATAGTGGACATATATTCGTAAAAAACTTGTTTTACCTCTGTTGAACCAAATAGAAATATGATTAGTTGCACAAATTATTTTGCATTTTACTACGATTTTATAATTTTGTTTTAGTTAAATATGATTTTACCTACGGTGTACAAATAACAAACAACTGTTATGTGTGCATAAATAAATGCAACAATGTGTTATTAAATATTTATCTTTGAATCAATTCTGTAGAATAACTTTATTATTTGTTTGCAGTGCTCTTATGGCTTGTATTCTGAAAACACACTCCCAGATAAGTAATACAAAACTATCTGTATCGCGACCTCGTTCTCGTAGACTTGTGACGTGACATTCGAGAAACATAATATATCCGAACAAAATCAGTTTCACTGTAAAGCATCGCGCCAAGTACACTTTCAGTTATAGTTACAAAAATAATAATTACATTTTTACAAAAAATTATAAAATAAAAAGAAACCAAGTACATACCCGTTTTAGATTCGAAAAAAAAATTTTGCTGAATAAAGTAATAATAAAAAAATGGTGCACTTGGTGTGCATGATTAAGAGTATCGATCACCCAACTTGACATTGGAAGCCGTTTTTTTATAACTTTTTTGAGTTATGCTCGTACTATAAAGTATAATGCACACCAAGTACATCATTTTTATTATGACTTTTTTCAGCAAAATTTTTTTTCGAATCTAAAACGGGTATGTACGTGGTTTCTTTTTACTTTATAATTTTTTGTAAAAATGTAATTATTGTTTTTGTAACTATAGTTGAAAGTGTACTTGGCGCAATGCTTTACAGTGAAACTGTTTTTGTTCGGATTTCATATCTTTTTGTAAAGTACGCAATTTCTTTTTTTTTTTCAAATATCGCACACCTCATACCGCGAAGCGGTTGAGTTTGTGCTTTACTCTCAACACGTCAAGGTCAAGAAATTTTTTGCTCTTTAACTACCTCTACAACAACTGATTTGCACTCATAAGATAATATGAGTAGATTTTTTTTCAACAAAATTTAATCAATCTATCTCATATTTTGTATAAATCAATTTTATTTTGCTATTTTAAGAAAACTGAAAAAAAATTTCGTGGACGTCTGGATTTTTTTTGCATGGTCACGATAACTCTCGAAAAATTTAACGTATCGAGACCTGGTTTTGTTTTTTTTTTAAGAATTATATTAATTAGGTACTTATTTCATAACAATAGTGATGTTTTTTATATAAAAAAGTCTCCATTCATTATACAGTCAACGTAGGTATAAAACTTTAACTTTGAATTTCAATGTAACTCTGAATAAAACTCTACTAACAATTAAATATGGCTGTGCAATGTGACGCGTCAACAAATTGTAAAGCAGTGTACTATAAAGGATTATAATCATTTGATACCGAGATAGATGAAAACATAGCTTAAAAGACAAGCATCCAAGTTAACAGTCTTTAAAAAGATAAATAATTTGCCCGAAATTATTAAAATATTTTTATGGAGTGTAGAGTAGAAGGAGAACCATCTTATAAAGTGCGAAAGTTGCTACCTTTGCATATACGTGAGGCACAAACTATTGTTATCTTTAAGCGATTACTTAAAGAGCATTACTTGTCTCAATCGTTCGGACACCGTTAGGATAGATTGTGTGATTATGTATTTATTGTATCAGCTTTATATTATTGTTTGAGGAATTTTGTATATATATGTATATTGATGTATATGACGGCACCAAGCACCATTGCAGGTGCGGCGCCGTCGGTGTAGCTAGACAGAATTCTTGTAAATAACACTTGCTCCGCACACCTGCACCATTGCACCTCCGGTAGCGCCCGTTTAGCTTGTATAAAACGGACGGAGCTGCCGCCGTTAGGGCAGTCTTGGCTCTGACGTGGAACAGTGCGCTTGTCGTATTCCGTTACTAGTTTATCCTCGACTCGTTGGATAATTAATTCGTGTAAACGAATTAATTATTATTCCTAACTATAAAATCAGTCTCAGTACCATACCCATCATATTTCCTACATATATGTGTTGTGTGTATATTTATGTATATGATGGCACCTGCATCGTTGTAGGTGCGGTGGCGTCGGTCTAGCTAGACAAAATTCTTGTAAACGACACGTGTACCGCACACCTGCGGCATTGCATCTGCGTTGCCACCCGTCCTGCTTGTATAAAACGGACAAAGCGGCCGCCGTTAAGACAGTCTTGGCTCTGACGTGGAACGGTGCGCTTGTCGTATTCCGTTACTAGTTTATCCTCGACTCGTTGGATAATTAATTCGTGTAAACGAATTAATTATTATTCCTAACTACAAAATCAGTCTCTGTACTATACCCACTATACTTCCTACATCAGAAGTGGGATAAAGTCCCTCTTATTGCCCACATATAATCTTCGAATGGTATGAGAATTATTACATTTGTAAAGGCTATAATGCATTTTGCATTGATGGATCTCTTTTTATGTTAAATACCGAAATGAAATTTGCTGTCCTACTTACGATATTATCGTATCATTAAAGTGTAGAGAAAAAATAAAGTGAAATTATTTAAGCCAAAAGATAAAACCTTTATTTCGATTTGTATTAAAAGTACCCTCAAGTATTTTCATTATTTCTGACGTACCTAAATATGTTAACAAATGGAAGAAATGTCGGAGGCTTTCTAGACGAGTCATAGTTTGCATTGAATGAAAAATTAACTTGTTCAAGCTTTGTTGTATTTTGATAGTTCATGCGAAACATGATTATCATCTGTTATATTTTGAAATTCAAAACGTTTAGGCGATGTACCAAAATAAAGGATTAACTTTAACATGCTAGGAATTGAAAATAATAAGTAGCATTTTTGTGTTCTAATGTGTTGATCAGTGCTGCAGGTTGCTCCGAATACTGTGTGGTCGACAAGATTGGGGTTTGATGTCGAGAGATTCGTAGAAATCTCTACATCAATGATCAATGAGGAAGATGTTGTGAC